GAAGTCGGGATTCTCTCAAGTTAGCCTAAATATGTGTTTAGCCAGGAAGTCCTTACTAGCTAAGAGAATCTTGTCTTCAGCTTTCCTAGGAGTTTGGTTAGGACACCAGAGGCCAACTCCTCATAAACTCGTTAGTTAGAAAAACAGCAACCTTGGGCTTGGATTTCTAAGTCTCAATTAAGCATCTTAGAACAGTTTTCTCTGCTGATATTTAGGGACAATCTGAGAGCAAGGAAAAAGTAAACAGGGTTATTAAAGGGTAACTCGTGGCTCCTTCCTCTGCCCTCTCTCTCAGACCAGGATGGAAGGCTSCGGCTGTGGGCTTGCTTGGTTCTGTGGAGGGCAGAGGTCCACAGGGCAGAGCAAGGGGGAGGATGCTCCCCGTGGAATTCCAAAGTGGAAGCAATCCTCGAGTGGTGGCATCTTGGGATCTAGCCCTGGGGAATGAAATGGTGGCTAGAAGCTTGCCCAGGTCCAGTTTTCAGAAGCTCTGGCGGGGACGGAGGTCCCAGGACACCCACCATTCTCCCCAGTGCGCTCATCTGCCTTCTCCACACGGTGTTCGGCAYATCAGATTCTCTGTCTCCAATCTCTACCTCGTTCTCAACTCACTTTAACTAATGTCTTCTAACATCAACCCAAACCGTTTCATGGGAGTAAATGTATGCTAGATAAACAGAYGAAAGAGAAAAATATATTTTTCCTGATATTTAGAAATAATTACCTTCCTCTTTTAAGTTCATTATTCCCACACACAATGATCCCCACTCATAAACCATATTTTCACACCMTTCTCAAACTGGCAGTGAAGTAATTAAAAAGCACATGGGTGAAACAACAGAGACCTGGATTTAAAAAATAATCCCTGACACAGCTCCATATTTTACCAGCTCAAAGGGAAGCTAGAAAAGCTTCTGAACTTTATCCCTCAAAGGAAATCAGTAAGATAATAAAGGTTAAATCTTAAGATGATCAATAAATACAATCTTCACGGATACTTCAAAAACCTTCCAATTACCAGCATCCTATCTCTCCACCCTTGGCCTGGGAAATATTTGCAGAGGAATTCTTGGCCCAGAATCTATCCTTAAGGTTCTTTCCACTCACAGGTAAAGGCATAAATCCACATTTGGCAGAGGTATTATAAATAACATAGTTTCCCTGTTAAAAAATAAATAAGAAAATACTGATTAAAATGTCAATTCAGCAAAGCAAGTCTGCCTTCTGTATCTTGGAATAACTTAGGGCTCAAAATCTTCTGAATGCTTTTCTGGACCCTTCAAAACTATGCAGACGTTTCCGCCTCTGGTTTTAAGTCCTAGCGTGTGTTATGGGAATCTGAAGAGCTTTCCAGGGCTCCTTCCTTCATCACAGTGAGTTCTAGCGGGTTGGGGCCAAGCCATATTTCTTCTGGCCTTTAGCAAAAAAACAAAAAAAGACCAAAAAAAAAAAAAAAAAAAAAGCCCACATGTCTTAGGACACAGTGAGTTCTTTGAAACCAAATGGAAGCAGAATTACTGCCCAATCTTCTAAG